TTGTACCGGGACCACCGGAAGGGTCCCGGAGGTCCACCGGGTGGGGCCACCTATCCCAAAGGGCCCCATGGGCTAAAGTGGGGAGGGGACCAGCCCCTGGTGGGCTGGTGCGCCCCCCTTGGGCCCTCCCTGCGCCTAGGGTTGGGAACCCTAGGGGAGGGGGCGCCTCCACTTGCCTTGGGGGGCAAGTCTCCCCCCTTGGCCGGCGCCCCCCTTGGGGACCCTATATAAAGAGGGGGGGAGGGAGGGCAGCCGCACCCTTGCCCCTGGCGCCTCCCTTCCCCCTTGCTACACCTCTCCCTCCAGCACATGCTTGGCGAAGCCCTACCGGATCCCTGCTGCATCCACCACCACGCCGTCGGCTGCTGGATCTTCATCAACCTCTCCTTCCCCCTTGCTGGATCAAGAAGGAGGAGACGTCACGCTGACCGTACGTGTGTTGAACGTGGAGGTGCCGTCCGTTCGGCGCTAGAATCTCCGGTGATTTGGATCACGACGTGTACGACTCCCTCAACCCCGTTCTCTTGAACGCTTCCGCTCGCGATCTACAAGGGTATGTAGATGGTTGCTGGACGAACTCATAGATTGATCTTCGTGAACGTAGGAATTTTTTTATTTTATGCAACGTTCCCCAACATTATGATCCAACAACCCCGGAGTGACAATAGTCGGGACCACTCCCGGTGATGATCGTAGTTTGAGGAGTTCATGTATTCACCGTGTGTTAATACTTTGTTCCGGTTCTCTATTAAAAGGAGGCCTTAATATCCCTTAGTTTCCAATTGGACCCCGCTGCCATGGGAGGGTAGGACAAAATATGTCATGCAAGTTCTTTCCATAAGCACGCATGACTATTTACGGAATACATGCCTACATTATATTTATGAACTGGAGCTAGTGTCGTGTTGCCCTAGGTTATAACTGTCACATGATGAATATCATCCAACAAATCACCAATCCAATGCCTACAAATTTATTTTATATTGTTCTTGCTAAGTTACCACTGCTATCGTTACTGTTGCACTTGTCACAAAATTACTGCAATCACTGTTACCATTACTACTGTTGCTGCTACTATTATCAAACTATCATACTACTTTGCTACCGATCACTTTGCTGCAGATAATTAATCTCTAGGTGTGGTTGAATTGACAACTCAACTGCTAATACTTACAAATATTCTTTGGCTCCCCTTGTGTCGAATCTATAAATTTGGGTTGAATACTGTACCCTCGAAAACTGTTGCGATCCCCTATACTTGTGGGTTATCAGGCTCCAAAACTTGTGTGTTGAAACGATGCAAAACCTCTAGTATACATAGGTTGGAGGGGAGGGATAGGGTAGCCACCAAGGAGGGAAAGTCCCTCCTTGGGGTGCCGGCCAAGGGAGGGGAGGAAGAGTCCTCCCCACTCTCTAATTAGGCCTCCTCCCTGGCAAAGGGGGCGCCTCCCCCACTTGGGCCCTTGTGGCCCAAGTTGCCTTTCACCTCTTGGCCTTTTAATGTTGATATTAAATTAAATATAAAATTATTCTAAATATTTTCAGGCCATTTCATATATAATTTAACATCCCCGGAAACATTTTCCAATTATATATTATTATCGGTAATACTCGGTATTACCCAATATTCACCGAAACCCTTCCGGTGACCCCGAAACGCTTCTGGATCCTCTCGAAACTATTTCGAATATGAATGGAACAATTTTACAAATACATTCTCATCACTCCCATTCTACTAATACTAAACATATCGTGATTGCCTAAATCTTGTGACCCCGTAGGTTCGGTAACTCATAGACATTAACGAAACCCCTTCGTTCAATGATCGATAACGGAATAGTGGATGTCCATATCGATCCCTATGAGCACACGGATTATATTCGAGTGAACCTTTGGTTATCATTTGATCTTCCGTTTGCTTTGTGATACTTTAGAAAACTCGGGATGCATCGGTATCCTCCTGAGTAAACACATGCTCACTATACCGAAATCCTTGTTACCGGTTTTGTTCATTTTTTCCTCGTTACCGTGTTCCAGCATCCCCGTGACGTAGTCACCTGTGTCTGGACAGACGATGATGGATGCCGTCACACTAAGGGGTCCCTAATAATATCTCTCCATCCTCGGAGGAGCAAATCCCACTCTCGAGCTATCTAGTCCCTTTGTTAAACTTTCTGATGAACCCGTAAGTTGTCGTTATGATCACCGTGCTACAGGTGATGTTTGAGCAACCCCAGAGCTCACCATATGGTACGAAAGTGACTAGGATGCTCTCATGGTCTAAGGAGAAAAATCACACGTTAAACACTTCATGTTATTACAATTGATTATAGACGATATTACTCAATCCATAACAGACAAATTTGGGTCGATTCAATATGATCGTTCTTCCAACGTCATAATCTCAATGTTGTTAGGACTATCATTTCACACTTAAACGATATCCTAAGATCCAGAAAACATGATCACCGACAACACTTGATCTAGTCCTAGGGGCAAGACTAGGAATCTTACATATAGCCGTTTATCATTCCACATGTGCATACGAGTTTTCTACTGAATCGCATGTTCCAGGATCATAACAGTTATAACATAGAATATAAACTCTTTAATTATGAATATGGAAATATAATTATACAAATATTGTTGCCTCTAGGGCATAATTCCAACACTTAGACCCTTCATGAGTCAAAGACCCCATCAACGTGGATGTAAGATAGCTCACTATCTGAACCATGGGAAATATCTTCAGTAAGCCAACTCATGTTTGCGTATCTCCAACTCTACTTGTTTTACCTTCACTTGCTTGTGCTAGATAGATTGCTATAAAATGCTAAAAGGGGCATGCAAATTAAAACTTAGAAAAGGAGTGCATCTTTTGGCTTAGTAGTCTATTCACCCCTCCCCTCTGAACATACTTCTCGATCATACAAGTGGAATCAGAGATTTGGTCTCCTTAGCAAGGTTCTCCATTGGTGAATCCTTGGCAAGTTGACTCTTTGCTTTGTCTTAACCACCTCGGAGAACATGACTTCTAGCGAGGGGAGTTATCATTGTAGAGGTCCTTACTTTGATGGTTCAAATTTTTCTAGTTGGAAACATCAGATGAGAATGCATATTCTTGTTCATAATCCCACCGTTTGTGCTATTGTTCACATTGGTTTGCAAGGTGAATCCTTCCAAGGTGGACAACTTCCGGATCCTGAAGCAACCACATGATCCAACATAATTCTCAAACATTTGACATCCTCTTCAGTGCGTTGTGCCCAGAAGAATTCAACAAGATTAGTCATCTTGAAAGTGCAAATGAATTTGGAAATGCATGAAGGTGCCGAGTCTGTGAAGGAGTCCAAGGTTGATGTCCTACAAGGTCGGCTATACAAGTTCAAGATGAAGGATGGTGAAGGCATTGCCGAGATGTATCTAGGCTAGAAATCATTACAAATTAGATTGTCGGCTTAGGAAGCGAAGCAATGATGGAAAAAATTCATCATTAAGAAGATTCTCAGAGCTTTGGATAACAAATATGACACCATGTGCATATTAATCCAAATGATGCCAAAATAGAAAGATCTCAAACCTACATAATAAATTAGAAGAATTGTGACACTGTAAATAATCATTTTTTTATAATTAGTTTAAAAATGCAGAATGATTTGTTGCCATGGAGAAGACAATAAAGAATTTTAACTTCATGATTTTTGGGAAGCCATGTATTTTTTTAACAAAATGTTCACCTTTCATATTACATTGGGCGAGTGCAAAGCTTAGGGACAATGTTTGCACTAGCCAAGCCATAATTAAGGTAACAATGGATATGACATTCTGATGGTTGGAAGAATGAGGGTGTGATTAGTTTATCACCCCAACTGACTAACCCGACAAATTAGGCCACTCTTGTTTTTCATTGTTGAACTCAGTGCCTATAATATTCTCAAGGATGCAACTACTTAGGGTTCTTAATTTTGAATTCAATTGCTATTGAAATATTTGAATTACCAAATCAATATTTTTGGTTCTTAGCATGAACAAATAACCAACACCAATTTCTCACAAAAGAAAACAAATAACTAGCACCAGCATCTCACAAGATTTTCGAGGTGTGTTTGAATTCAAGTCGGATGAATGTATTTCGGAACCAACCAAAATCAATGAAATGTCTGAAACTTCGGCACATTTCACTGAAAAAAAAGAACTATGGTCCTATTACTGTTTGGACAGTTTTTAGTTTTCATTATGCCGACGTTCCCACCTGCGGCGTCTCCTGCGACAGTTCGAGCACCAAGGGCGAACCAGTGGATCCCTCCGCAGGAAAACTATGTCAAAGTCAATGTGGATGCAGCAGTATCAAGGCATGGAGCTTACAGTTCGGTTGGTACAGTCTCAAAAAAATAAAAATTGAATTGAGAGTTTTCCGAAAACAATAAAAAAAAGGTGTAAACCGGAGTCCTGTGCACAGTTCATGGCAAGTGTTGTCTGATAACACCAGCTTTATCCCCGTTTAAACGAGTAGCGAATCATCTGAGGAGTTTCCCTGCAGACCGAGGATGAATACCTTATACCTGCCCATATAAACGGAAACGAATCGGGAAAATGAGAATAAATTGTTGAAGCCAAGCTTTCTCCCTGCCTGCAATTCCCCAAACCAAAGTCGCCTCTCGCGCCATCCATCGTCCCCCCGCCCGCCCCAACCCACCAACGCCAAGGCCCGGCCGGCTCACCTCTAAAACCCTCCCCCCCACCCCCTCTTCATGTTCCTCCCTCGAGCCACCACCTCGCTCCACTCCCTGCTGCGATGCCAGTTCCGCCCGCTCCCCTCGCCTAAAACCCTAGCCATTACCCTCGCCCCGCCGCCCCTGCTCCTCCGCCCCCGCCTCTGCTCGTCCTCATCCTCCTCCCGCCGCGCCTCCCCTGCCGCCGTCAAATCCGGCGAGAAGAGGCCGCCCGCGAGGCTGAAGAGGGCGGCGGCGGTGACGCCACTAGCAGCGGGAGGAGCAGACATGTCGTCCTCGGGAGGCGCCGGGGGGAAGCGCTCCGTGGCGGATGTGCTCATGGGGAACGCGCGGGACGCCGCCAGGAAGGCCAAGAAGGGGGCCCCGGCCGCCTCCGGGGTCCCGTCTCCCAAGAAGCCCAGGACGAAGACGGCCGCCGAGGCCGACGGCGCGACGGCCGAGCCGGCGGTGGACGAGAAACCGCCTTCGCCGGCCAAGTCGCCCGTTAAGTCGAAGCGCCCATCGTCGCCACCCAAGTCCAAGTCGAAGGCCGACGACGCTCCTGAGGCCAAGAAGAGGTCCCCGTCGCCCACGACGTCCAAAACGCTAGCCGCGGCCGCGAAATTGGAGGCCGCGGAGAAGCCCCTCTCGCCGAAGAGGGCCAAAACCCTAGCGGCCAAATCTGACGCCAAGCCCTCTGACCAAGCCCTTGTCTCTCAATCTAAAGACCAGGCGTCTCAACCCGAGGATAAGAAGACCAAAATCTCAAATGCCACCAAGTCAGAGGAGGTGAATACCACTCTCGAGCTCAAGAAGAAAGGCAGTGAGTTTGATCCCATGGCTGCTGCCTACTGGAAGCCCGGCGAGCCTGTGCCATTCCTCTTCTTGGCTCGGGCACTCGACCTCATCTCCTACGAGTCTGGCCGGATTGTCATTACAGAGATCCTGTCAAACGTGTTCCGTACGATTATTGCCACAACTCCAGAGGATCTCCTTGCGACAGTATACCTCTCCGCTAACCGGATTGCGCCACCTCACGAAGGGATTGAGCTTGGTATTGGGGATGCATCAATCATCCGTGCACTTTCCGAGGCATACGGCCGCAAAGAGGAGCATGTCAAAAAGAACCTCAAGGTTGTTAGTTGTGAAATTTAGGTTCTGCAGTGAGCAACGGCAATAGAGCTTGAGCATAAATTGATTGCTTTGTGTCTTCGTCACTGTAGGAATTGGGTGATTTGGGGCTTGTGGCGAAAGCAAGCAGGTCGTCACAGAAGATGATGTACAAGCCAAAACCACTGACGATATCACGTGTGCTTGATACCTTTCGGACAATCGCAAAGGTAATATGCTTTCTCATTTTTCTCAAGCTAAAGAGTCATTTTAGCCCTTACTTTGGCTTGATATTCTCAAGATGAAATGTTTTTTTTCTATTGGGTTGATATTGAAATGCTTAATTATTGGAAATAAATCCACTCTGTTTAGTAATCGATTATATTGGAGAGATGATTAGCTGGTTTCAGAATGCAGTGCCACTTCAGAAATCACTTAGCAAGCATAATGTTTTCAGGAATCTGGCAAAGACAGTCAAGATAAGAAAAGAAGTCATATCAAAGGACTTCTTGTTGCTGCAACAGACTGTGAACCTCAATACATTATACGACTTCTTCAGGTAAATATTGCAATGTTCAGTTAATAAATGCACTTAAGTATTCATATATTCTTTGCAAGAAACCCCTGAACTGGCATTTGTTGCAGTCGAAGATGCGTATTGGGTTGGCAGAGAAAACTGTCCAAATGGCTCTTGGGCAAGCTGCTGTATATTCTGAAAAAGGGTCCCCGCCAAAAAAAGTCCAATCACCTTTTGAAGAGGTTGATGCACTTATTTCTTCTATTTACAATTTTAAATTAATTTTATATTTGTGCGGATAGGTGTTGAACTCTTATTGTGTTCATGCTGTTGCAGCTTTTACTAATTTAGTCTACCCCTTAAGGCTTGTATCCTGTGATGACTTCAAGAGTTTCTATGATTTTTTGGCAACATGCTGAATTCCTTTTTTGTATCCCTGTTGTTTTTCTCAGAATATCTTGCTACCTTGGTAATGGTAAGGATTCATAAAAAATCATTTCTGTCACCTGAAGCCATTGAGGCTTGTATGGTACTCCCTCCTTTCACAAATATAAGATGTTTTGGATATTTCTTGGCTCCTAGGTGCATATGCACCCATTGTCGAAATACACATTTTGAGAAGTTGAAAAATTCGGAACAAAAATTCCACGTGTATATCCAGACATTTTATGTGCGTTCACAAGGTTTCGGTGAAAAATGACGTTTTTTGTGGCTTGTGTAAAAAAGATAAAGAAATGCCTCGTTAATAGTTAGAATGAAGCATCAGAAATTGTCTTTTTTACACAAGCCACAAGAAACGTCGTTTTTCACTGAAACCTTGTGCACGCACATAAAATGTCCGGATATACACGCGGGATTTTTGTTCTGAATTTTTCAACTTTTCGGAATGTGTATTTCGACAATGGGTGCATATGCACCTAGGAGCCAAAGGCAATTAGCGCTACATACAGGCTGAAATGAGTGAACAAACACACTAAAACATGTCTATATACATCCTTTTTTGCGGATGTGTCTATATACACCCGATTCAGGAAAAAGTTAGAACATCTTATATTTGTGAACGGAAGGAGTATGTTTGGTTGGTGACAATGTTATCAATTAATTGGTCATGCCTCTTTGCCCACTCTGTTTGTCTTGCCAACATGGCCAAAACATGGGGTGGCAAAACCTTGACCAAAAGATTCACTAACCAAATTTTTGGTGGGGTGAACTTGTGCTCAAACAAACACACCCATAATCCTTCTGTAGTGGCTCCTCTAATCACTAGTTAGTCTTGTTGAACTATAAATTGGAACATATAATAATTATATATCTTTAGTTGCTGTTTTTGTGGTTTGTAATATTGATCGTAGCATTGTGTTGTGTGCATGTGCAACATGTTCTCATGTTTTCAGTTTTCTTTCTCATATTGCCTGAAATCTGTGCATGTATACTGACTGGTATGATCATTCTGATATTTCTATACCCTCTGTTCTGTGTAGGCTGCAAAAATAATTAAAGAAGCATATTCGGTTCTTCCAGTCTATGATAAAATTGTCCCGACTCTTCTTGATGCTGGTGTTTGGAAACTTCCAGAAACATGCAATTTCTCCATAGGTGTCCCTGTTGGTCCTATGTTGGCAAAAGCAACAAAATCTGTATCAGAGATTATTGACAAGTTTCAAGGTCGTGAGTACACTTGTGAGTACAAGTATGATGGTGAACGGGCCCAGGTACAAGCAAGCCTCATGGGTATTAGCTGTTTTTATATTTTGCCCATGCTAATCTCAAATAACACTATAATTTGCAAGATTCATTGCATGGAGGATGGAACAGTAGAAATTTATAGTCGGAGCGCTGAAAGGAATACTGGGAAGTACCCTGATGTTGTTGATGCAATTTCTAGGTATACTTACCTTCTCATTTCACTTACCAATTTATTGAAGCTCCATGCCTATATGTGCTGGCCTTGATAAGCTAGAGCTGTTTACAAACTCATAGCCAATCTGTATGTCCATTGTGCATTTCCTGTTGCACTCCTAATTCTGGGAGTTAACATTTTTTACTCATCTCAATGCAGAATCCGAAAGCCTACAGTTAAGTCATTTGTCCTAGATTGTGAAATTGTTGCTTATGACCGCGAAAAGAAGAGAATTTTACCCTTTCAGGTTTGTATTTTTTCTCTATTAAGATGAGTAAGCTAACTTCCATTGACCACCATACTTATAACTGAGTTTATAACCTATAGCTGATGCACAATTAAAACTGTTGTATGTAGTAGATGAACTAATGCCTCTGGTTATCATACTTACCTTAATTTTTGCCTAGTTTTTATGTACCTGTCACTGCTAGTTGTAAGGATGCTGAGATCTTTCTCCTTACTTCCAGATACTCAGCACAAGGGCCCGCAAGGGTGTTACTATAAATGACATCAAAGTATCAGTCTGTACTTTTGGCTTTGATATTCTTTACATCAATGGGAAACCTCTTCTCCAGGAACAACTTAAAGTTCGACGAGAGGTATTGTACAAGTCATGTAGACTCCTAATAATATATAATTTCATTCTGCTGTCTAGTTGGGTTATTTATCCTATTCTGTAGGTATGTCCTCAGATAGTTGTGATTGCAGATTTCTTGTTACACCATATTTGTTAGTCGCAGTGTTTTACTTGAGCCATTATAGCAGAGCTTGCCATTAATTTCCTGATCATGTATATTGTACATGTATATCCACAGAAACTGGTATAGTGAATAATCTGATTATTGATAAACAAGAAAGTGATGTGGTTGCACCCTAAAAAAAGACTAATTCATTCGGCTGTCTTGACTCTCGAAAGATGTAGTTATTTATTGGCTTTGAATACTTGGCAGCATCTTTACAACTCTTTCGAGGAAGTGCCAGGTGTTTTTCAACTGGCAACTGCAATTACATCAAATGACCTCGAGGAGATACAGAAATTTCTTGACTTATCTGTCAACTCCAGGTAATTGGATTTTGTAGAGCTTTCACTTTGCCATTAGCCAGCTTATATGTCTGCTACTGATGAACTGTGTTTCCTTGTTCACATTATACAAAGCAAATAACAGTCAAGTTTTCCATAAAAAATACTCCCGCTGTAAATAAATACGTATAACACAAGCAAATAACAGTCAAGAGTACTTATAACACATTCTATTGTTTGCTTCACTTCGCATTGGCCTCCCATTGTTAGATCTATTTGATTGCCGTGAGAGGACATCCTAAATAATCTTAGCCACCTTGGATATATGCATATCTGTGAAAATAAGTGGCCAAATAAGCAAGTGTTAACTCTAGCATCTATATATCAGGACTCCAGTAAAGGAAAAAATGGGTGGGGGAGTTTACATGGAGCTGTGTTGTGAAGGGTTTATTATCAATGCTAACCACCACCGTTTTCTTTTGCCAAAATATTTTCTGGCACTAAGATTTAAGTGATTTTGAAGTTGTGAAGGGTTGATTATCAAGACATTGGATACGGATGCTACATATGAGCCAGCGAAGCGGTCAAACAATTGGTTGAAATTGAAGAAAGATTACATGGACAGGTTAGCATATTTCATGCCATCCTGATTTCACTCATTTTTGCCTGCACAACATGAAAATCTAGATAATAGTTATGGAGCACAGGATATAGTTTGCATATTTATCCCTCATGTTATTGTCTCATCATTCATGCTGTGACATGACACCTTACTATGAACTTTTGGGTTGTCAACAAGTTTTTACAGTAGACTTATTTGATGTCAGTAAAATAAATACTAACGTTTTGTTCTGCCAATGGTATATTGCTCTTTTGGCCAGTGTTGGAGACTCTTTAGACTTAGTGCCAATTGCTGCTTTTCATGGAAGAGGAAAACGAACTGGTAATTAAACATGCATACTGAATTTTAAAATAAACTGATTATTATAGTTCTGTTTGCATTTATCTGATCGTCTTTTGCCTTTTTTCTTAATAAGGTGTATATGGATCGTTCCTCTTGGCATGCTATGATGAGCATAATGAAGAATACCAAACAATCTGCAATATAGGTATATTTTGTAACCCTAAATTACTTGAATGGTGAATCGATTCTTTATATTCCTCATATTTATATAATTGTAGGTACTGGATTTTCTGAGCAACAACTTGAAGAACGTTCTACGAGCCTTCGAAGTAAAGTAATAAAGAACCCAAAGGTGATACATTCATTGACCAGCTTGTCGCATAATGGTTCTTCTTTTATTAATATCCTGCCCTATTGTTATGCTATATAGTAATGCTTTCTTTTTTGCAGGCATATTATAGGTTCGCTGACACAACTGACCCAGATGTGTGGTTTGAGCCGTCAGAGGTAATATGCACATTGAAACTTAAGTAGTTACTATTACCTGGTTATATTTTTTAGTTAACTTACTTTTGTCATTTGTCATTGCTAGTCTTTATTTGATTGATCTTAGCTTGTTCTACTATTTTTGATTTGTAACGAAAGAGTGATGATTAACCCATGATCATTAATGATCTAGCAACTTCAGTGAACATATTTGTCTATGTTCTTAAGGCAATGTGCTGGTTAGTTTTCGAGTAACTAATAAGGAAAGAACTTATTCCTGCTATATCTTGCCTCATTTATTTTGAAGTCACGGGATCAATTTTCTTGCCGTGTCAGTTCATGTATGGCAACGAAAACAGTGCGTTTAAGGTGAAAACTAGCATCTACTTGCATTTTATCTGCATTTGGTGTTGACTCTGAAAATTGTTGGCTATATATACACTTGATAGCTCAAGGGGGTTATGATGATTCTAATTTCAGACTTTGTGAATCTAATCATTTTTCACCGGTCATCAGGTGTGGGAGGTCAAAGCTGCTGATTTGAGCATAAGTCCAGTTCATCGTGCTGCTAATGGGATAGTTGATCCAAATAAGGTCGGTAATGTTATTTGATCTCCTCATTCCCCCATTTATAAGATATGCAGAGTACGGCTAGACTAAAGTTTGAATTGTATCAGGGCATCTCTCTAAGATTTCCTCGTTTGTTGCGGGTCCGTGATGATAAAAACCCAGAACATGCAACCACAGCTGAGCAAGTAAGCTTTCTGTTGCTTTTTTCTTAATGATATGTATCTTGTTTAGAGTTTTCATGTGGATTTGTATTCAAATTCCCAGGTTGCTGACATGTATCGTGCTCAAAAAATAAACCACTCGCACAACCAAGAAGATGAGGATGATGACTGAGACTGACCCCATTTTTATGTGCATTTTATGCACGACTTATTGAGGTAAACACTAGACACATTCTCTCCTTGTTTAACTCAGACAGTTTATATGCATGTTTACCGCTTGTTGGATAATTGTTTGCTTCCTGTCTCTGTACAATTAGCAGGACATAGTCAAGAATGCATGTCCTGTGATTTGCTTCGTCGTTGTTCAAACCGACTTCGACATCTTGAGATCTGTTCGTTTCTTGTAATGCTGTGCAACCTGTTTTTGTTTGTTTTCTTGTTTTCGTGATGAAACTGTAACACGTGCTATTCAGGTGGTGTGAATGGTAGGAAAATTGAATAGTTGCGAAGTGCACTGACACAATAGCTGTGGGTCTTACGTTTCAAAACCCGATCTTCCAGCTTAATTTAATTAGAGTTAAGTAGTTGTGCACAGACCTCTTGGTGAGTGGTAACGTAGCGGGTGTTTTTCTACACTGCCTTTTCAAAGGAATTTCAGTAAATTAATAATTAACCGAAGCAATTGAATAACTTTGAAAGCCACTGCTTACCACCGCAGTATCAGTGCCAAAACTTTCCAAACCAAATCGCAGAGATTAAGGTGGCATGCGTGACCTTACTACAGGGCTCTGGCTATTACTCGTGATCTATTTCTTTACGGAGAAAGTACAAGCTATCGTCGTGGACAGACTAGGGCTCTGGAGGCCGGACATGTTCACCGTCGTCTTGCTTAGCCCACACTACCCCTCTCCTTTCCGGTTGTAGACCCGGATCCTTAGATCACGATTTGATCAATGTAATACGATTTGACCAATGTAAGACGGGTTATGTATCACTAAAAACTTGTTCTGAATGTGAATTGAGTGGTCTACCTTTTGCAACATATTCATTGGTCGAATTGACGATCTATGCTCAAGACCATGGGGCCTGCAACATTGCAACGCTAGTGACCTGTTGGCGTTGTCACTTGGCCCACGTGTAATCAATCCCTTATGTTGGCTGAAAAGTTGATGGCGGCGTGGAAACATTTACACTTTTATTAATAGAATGCTCTTGTGTTGTCACGGACTTTTGAAATATTTTGTTGAAATTATATATAAACATATTGCATGTTAAATTTCATATGTATAGCAAAAACAGCACGAGTGCAATCGAGTAATAGTTGAAATCCACTTCACTTGCAGTGTAAGTTGGTAAAAAAAGGTAATTTGACTATGTATACATAGAGAGCGATGATTCAACTAATAACCTTACAAATTAAGATCTATTTGATGCGCTTAGAATATTCATGCACGATATTAGGAATGTGGTCATCAGCTTCATTGGCAGGACTGACGCCTCCTCTTCGCTCCATGCCGCCGCCTGACTTCTCATATCCCCTCCATGATGTCAGCCGGCCCCTCCTCCTTCCCCCACGGCGTCGACGCTCCTCCTGTTCACACCACTGCCGAAGCCCGTCCACTTTTGTCATTGCCGCGCATCCTCCTCTTTCCTCCATGGCATCGTTCGACACATATTAGTATATAAAATATTCCTAAATCATTTTGCGTCAAATTTGGTGAAACTTGGTTGGATTGTAGTACTTTCTTCTACGCTCCCTTTGGCTGATACAGTTGTTAATATCATCGGATATCACAACTAAGACCTGGTCTTTCTCTCGTCAAGGTAGACCTTTTCTAGGGTATGCCACATGTCCACACAATTTTATTTTACTTGCCTTAAGGTGATTATATTACTTAGAATTCAAACTACAATCCGCATGACAGAACCTCTCAACAACGCCTGGTCCAAAATGGAGCTAACCAGCTGTGCAACATTCGACACGGGAAAACTTTGTCATATACTGTAATAACTAACAGTGTCTTGGCAATGCCTAATATGAGTAATACTAATCTCCCTACTAGACATCAAGTACTTGATCTCATGGACGAAAGTAGCAAAGCTTGAGCGATCCCTTCCATTACTCTTCACCATACTGATCCGGTAAGCCATATCTTCCGCAGTGTGTCTTCAGCCATCGAGCGCACCCCAAGCTGATGCAAGTAGGTGCCCGCCATCTGCCTTTCCCGATCTTCTCCGTAGTGCCAAGGACGTGTGCCGCTTCTTCAGTGTGAGCCCTGAAGGCACCGACGACCAACATCGACTGTTTTGGCTTCAATTCTGGGATCCGCCACATCCTTGAAGACAAACTGAAGCAGCTTGAGAGCATCTCCAACCGGCGCCGAACGCGCGGCGCGCTAAAATCTGGTTTGCGGCGCACCCATCGCCAAGTTTGACGCGGCGCGCAGCGCTGGCTCCAGCAGCCGCGCTAAAATGCAGTACGCGCAGCTCCAGCAACGCACTAAAATGCAGCGCGCGCGAGCATCCGACGCCTCACATTTGTTCATTTTGAACACAAATAAATTTCACACATCAACACAAAACACATGGCATATAATTTGAATCACAAACATCATTCAACCAAGTTCGTGCCCAAAAGTTCATGCCCACAAGTTCAAATTCATGCCCACAACATCATTCAACCAAGTTCGAAATGCAAACCAAGTTCATGACACAAATGAAAGGCACAACAATCAAGCCTCATCCTCGTCTTCATCATCATCCTCATCTTCCTCCGATTCATCCGACTCCTCCGAAGACGATTCTTTCTCCTCCTCTTTTGTTGTGCACCGCATCCTCATCACGTGAAGCTCAGAAGGTGTTGCCAAGATCTTCAACGGCATCTTGATTCGAAGGTGGCACACCGGCGCCCTGAGGTGCACCCATGCCCCCAATGAGAGACGCGGCTGTAGGATGGGGTGAGGCGGGTGCCGGCGCGTGCGTCCATCGGGTCAGTTCGCCAGCGCCGGTGCTTGCGGGGCGAAGGTGGCACGGTGGATAGAGTGCGGCGCGAGCACTCGTGTGTGCCGCGTGCGGAAGCGGGCACCCCAAATACGCAGCACGCGATGACGATTCAGATAGCGCGCCCAACTCTATATGCCGCGTGCGCGGTTATTGCGCGCCCGCTGGACACACTCTGCAGATTGCGCGCGCGCTAAAACGGGCAAATTTAAGGCGCGATGCTTGTTTAGCGCGGCTGTTGGAGATGCTCTGAAGAGCTGCATAAGATGGCGCGGCCGGTGATAGAGGATATGCCAAGTCCTGTGACGCAAGGAGCCTGTGCCGACAAGCTATTTCGAGCTTGTCGTGGAATAGTCACGACAGATGTCCTAGCGAAAGGACTTAGTCATGGAGCCATCGCAACTAGGTTAGTTTAAAGGGGTTAAACGGGACAAAGGACACGGGAGTTTATACTGGTTCAGCCCCTTGCGGTGAAGGTAAAGGCCTACTCCAGTTTCGAGGTGGTATTGCTTATGTCTCGATTACCAGGGAGTGAATCCGCTTGACCTAGCTTTTGATCTGTTGTCCCTTTCCCTGAACCGCCGCCGGATCGTCCCTTTATATATACAGGTTAACGCCCAGCGGCTCACGGAGTCCTGGCCGGCTCATAGATAACGTGTCCGGCTCAACGACTATCTATACATGCCTTACAACGCAAGTCTTACACGTATGGCGGTTTACTTCTATGGGCCTAGGGTCGCCCTTGGGCCTTCGCTTGTGAACCGCCATCTTCAATGTCTTCGTGGGCTTCATATCATGAGTCGTCATAGGTATAACCCGGTCTACTGGGCGGGTCATACCTAATAGTTATATCCCCAACATTAGGCCCCAGATTGATTTGAACTAGTTCATGTCAATCTTCAATACTTAGGAAAAATCCTCCCTTTTTCGTTTGTGCGAGAATTCATAACCCGCCATGACGTCACCTCCTGGACTTGTGATAACCCGCCATGACGTCACCTGTCCTTAATTCACACAATATCCAATATATCTCAATGGATCTTTATTTTTAATACTTGTCCCGAGAATCGAGGCGCCCGAACAGCTGGATAACCATGTTTCGGCCTCCTCGTTTTTTGCGCCCACTTATCAGCCTTCTCCTTATAAATAGGGTCAAACTGCCTCTTCTCATTCTCTCCCGTTTCCTTCATCCTCTTTCTCTCGCGACTCTCTGTCACTCGAGCTCCGCCGCCGCCGCGAAGCACACCGTCCTCCTCGTCCTTGGCCGCTGCATCACCCTGAACAGGACCAGAGAACGACCGCGCTCCACCGTAGTTCACCTGCCTCTGTAAGTTTTTCTCCTTCCATGCTCCAGATCGCATTAGGGTTTCCACAGTTCTTCATGTTCTTCGTAGCTGTTCGTAGTTTATCTCCAACCCGAGCATCGTTTGATCTGTAAATAGCATATATCTTGCGCGGTAGTACTTTTGCCCCTGCTTTCAATACCAGCGGACCCTTTTTCCTTGAAATAAGATCTCCTCAGTACTTATGAACTCCCTTGCTCTACTTTTAGGTTTTGATCTATTTTCTTTTTCTGAACTGCCGCTGATCCAGAATAATAGTTGCAATCTGTGAAAATTGTTTGTCCAGTACTTAGCAAAAATTTGCTTCCTGATAGATCCACCTGGTCATGGCGGCTTACATAACCCGCTGTAGCTAGTTATGTACCATTAGGCCCCTTTTTAAGCCGCCATTCTGAATATGTACTGCAATACTTTCCCTCCGGCTTAATTTGAACCGACAAACTTGTTCTTTTCTTTTTAGGCTTCTTTGCAATGGCCCCAAAGACAGCCACTTCCTGTAACTGGGTTCCCTCCATTGTCACTGAGAACACACTCCAGGACTTTATGAAAACCGGCTATTTGCCCAAGAAGACTGTCATGCATTATCGCGCCCCCAAGCCGGAAGAAGAGAAACCTC